GCCGGCGTCCCTTCATTACGCTACCACCGACACTCCCCCCACAACACACCGCCGTCCTCGTCGCTCTCTCTCACTCAACGTCGGCTCCCTCCTCGGCCCTTCCCTGCAGTTGCCCACAGCGCTGCATACCCACCGGCTGCCTTGCTAGTATGTCAGGGTCGTCTTTCCATCCAGACAGGTTATCTCATTGCTGTTCCTCATCCTACATGTACACTAACAATTATTATACGTAATTCCAGTGCCCAACTCGTTCTATCATACTTTATCTTATACTTGTTTAACTTTCTTCTCCTGCGTGTGAATGATTATCACGAGATGCTAGCAGCTCTGTAAAGATCGATCTCGGTCAGAATCTTTCATCCTGCGGTTCGTTACTCTGGTGTGTGCTATCCTTGACGTCCTCGGCCGCTACAGATGACCACCGTGTCCACCATTCCCGCCACTACCTCCGCAACAACGACGACGATGGCGATGACGACTACCACGTGACCCACTCCAGCAACCAATGGGGACGCACCCGGACGCTCCGTCAGCCATCACCGTCACCAACACCGCACTAACCACCAGCAATGCGGACTCGACCCCAGCCCATCCTGAATGCTATCTCACCCCCATATCTCACACAGACCTGGTCGGTTACTTGCAAGTCCATCACACAGAGACTGGTGAACCAGCGTTTAGGGCCCCGACCTACACCAGTCTCAATCGTTTCAACTTTCAGGCTGTCCACGCACAGTCGCTTATCTAATTGACCTAATCGGCCATATATGTATACACGGTGGCGGATCCACCGTTAGGTCGACACGCTAAACCCGCTATGAACGTCCGACAACTCTCCAACTTCCAGCACTTCCAAATTCTCATCCACCAGCATGACCACCATTGACGTCGTCATCATAGTTGTTGCTGCTGCTATCGTCATCCTCAGTGTAACAGACTCAGCAACTCCCATGCAAATGCCTAGATCCACATTTGTCTTTGATTTTGAAGTGACAACCCGTCAAATTTGGAAGTACGCGTACCGGAGGCCTGGTTTCGATTTCCATAATGTTTTGTGTCATGCTTGCTCACATTAAACGTTAGCAACCATCGATCAGAGCATCCTTCTGATGGACAGAGTTCTTCTTGGAATTTAGCTTTATCGGCGGCACCATGGATGACTTTCAAAATCCGAGAGGCTTCTACAAACTGCACATATTGGTAGTCTAATTAATAAATGTTTTCACCAATAAACACGTCACTCATCAATCTCCAACAATGTCGCTGTGGCACAGGCTAATATGTGAATCAGTCTATATCAGCGTATTGGAGTTTGCTGTCGATTACGATGAAACTGAAGAAAGCGAATAGGTAAGTTACTACACATGATCTCAGAGAGCCGAGAAGCCGAGGAGCAGTTCAGAATAAGAAGATGCGATCATCGGAACTTCTGGTATAGGAAACAATACAGGTGCAATCCAGGTCGAAATGCGTGTAACTTCTATTCAGTTTGCTTATTTCCAAAAGACAGCATGAGAAACACCACATGACATGCTTTGGTAGGCGAGAACGCTGAAAAACACTACCCGAAGGGACTCAAAAGGCTATTGGAAACGGAGAATCTAGGCGGGCCTTAATCGGCCGAGCTCAGCGTACATACATATAGAAGTTATTGGTCGAACGGCATCCCGTAAGAGTGAAGACAAGAAATATTTAACACCTCAGTTTATGATGAACAGCAGAAATCCAAAACGGACAGTTCATGAGCAACCAAATAAGGAAGGTTCTAGTAGAGTGTACAGCAAGTGACGACAATATAAGACGAAAAACAAACATCCGGACATCCCAAATGGTAAATTGAAAATGTGTCGAATATTTTACTAGGCTAAACTTTAGGCGGAAAGGCAAGATATACCGTGGTTTCGCGCCGCGAATGGGCTGACAGGATTGCAGAAGTATTGGATTAGCAAGGTGGAGGATCACGGCGATTATTCCGCAAACATGCGGAATATCCTTACGTGCAGTCTATGCGTATGGTCCCAACGTCTGATTAAGCGTCCATATCCACCACACTGAATTTGATTTATCTGCTGTAAGTTCCTTCATGTATCCTTAGTCTTATTCGCCCCCCATTCTGCCTTAACGGCACCTCACTTTCGTGGACAGTTCCTTAACGTCTTGTCTAAACTGGAAGAACCCAATTTACGATGTGCGAAAAGGTCGTAGTACGGAAACTCGCATTGCTTGTGATAGGAATGTGCGCTATACATGCACATCCACCTGGGATGTGCATTCGATGTTGGTGAGCCGCTCAGGGCACACTCACTGATTGTAATTGCATCGATCAAGTGCCTGTAAATGCCATAACTAGCTCTGAAGATTACACCCAGACCTCATTGCTCAGTTGCCTAACAGTCAAGGAAACGCTGATCGTGGGGACGTGTCGGTAGGCTTCGCCCAGTTCGTTCATCCGCATTCCGGTGCTCAGGGTGCTCCTAGACCCTTGATAAGACGGTGCAGCCAAAAGTTAAGAGCAAGACCCTGCGATGACTGGGCGCACCACCCATGCGACCAAGCCGTGCATGTTCACCGACACAACAAATCTACGTCAGATTTCTGCTCCAACTTTTGGAACTGGGCATATTCAGCTTCCTTTTGTTGACGTCCGGTCATCTCGTTATGATGGACTTTTTCGCCAAGAAGACTGAAAGAGTCTCGGACAAAATTTTTTCACCATTGTAAGGGGGCTTTCATGATTGTAGATGCTACCTAACTCACAGCATGTCCTCCCCCATGTCTCTCTACCGGACGGATAGACTTTGGTGTTTCACTTCGACGGATTAAAACGACGTAGGACACACATGCCCGCCGCCGCAGAGGATATGCCCATCATATCGCAGTCGGGTAGGGCTCCGGCTGCGAGGGCAGGGGTGTGGCGGGCTGCATTAAAATGTTTTATTCAACAATTCTATGAACAGATGTGCACACAGGCGCTCATGTTGTCCCTTTTACGTCCTATAGTTCGCACCTTCGAACCGTCACCCTCATTACTGGTAGAGGCAACCACCTGTGCCCTTTTGAAGCAGTTCGCTTCATTCTGTAGTGATTGCGTCGAAGAACTGATTTCACGGACGCATGCCAAGTGGTTAAGTAAGCGGTTGTCCAACGTTAGGATGGTCTTCCGTTAGGACATATTTAAATTACTTCATATTTGTGTCAGTTGCTCACAATCGTTCAGGAGTGAGCATCCCCAAAGAAAAGTTTGACAATCTTTTTGGAGACGAACAAAGGGGAACGGCCAGTTTTGAAGGGACTTGCTGAATATGACCCCCGTAGCGCCCGAGTACTACAGTACAACGTTTACCTTGTTTAACGTCCGACTAGAAACAAAAGGTCCCAACTAGTCTTCCAACCCCGACGACGGAACTACGTCGTCTCAGCCGTTGGCACCCCTCTTTATCGCGTCTACGTCGTTAGTCTTTTTCTTATGCATGCGCGCGTGTACTTGGGGCAGCTGCGATTATGTTTGATTTAGCCAATCTCGATCAGTGCGTGGCAGTCTGTGGTAGCGGGTCTGGAGAACCCGACCTACTTTCTCTTTCAGCGACGGAGGCCGAGTAAAGGGCAGAGAGTCACTGCATCTTGGCGAACTACATCTTACCAAGTCTTAATTTGGCAGACGAGGAAGGACGTGTCCAAACCACCTGATTTGTCTATCTTGGACGGCTTCTTCCTCTTTTTCGTTAGTCGTTCCACGATGAAATATATATTGTTCATTGCTGTTCTGTAATAATAATGATTTTGTCAATAAGTATCTTGTTTTCCATCTGTGCCTGTATCGGGCGTTGGCGTCATCGACTCCTGCTATACTCAACCGACTATGTAGGTCGCTACAACTTACTACCCTCTGCAACAAATGATGGCGAATGTGGGCCAGGATGTCTCCTATGAGTTCGAGGTGGAGTCCTCCGCCGACTGGATAAATCAGCATAAGTTCCTTCGGGTAGGTCCTACTACAAGACTTAATAAGACGCAAACCAGGTCGGTCTTCAGTTTCCAACCGATCTTCTCGAATATTCTATTCGTGTGCATGACGAGTTACGCGCAAGGACAACCGCGTCAATCGTAATACTTGGTGACACGCCTTACAGCAGGTACTAGATACTTGTTTTTGTTAATCATGTTTTATGCCAGTTAGCGACTACCGATAAACCATTCCTGCCACCTGAAGTTACCTAGTTGATGCCTCCTTATTGGGTGTCTCCGTTTATTGTAGGCTTCGAATATTTTCCCCAATTGAACCATGCGCGAAGACGCTCCAGTCGTGACATACTTTGGAATGACTTGTGACAACTGTCGGGTAGCGAGCAGTACATGAATGCCAGGCACCTTCCGCTGAGTACGTTCAGGGAACGAGCTCAAACACCATGCATCACGTTTCTGTGGAAACATTCTCTTGATAGATGACTAGTGGTCGATGAATATTTTTTTTATCCGATTCGGGTGGACCCGACCAAGAATGAAACTCAGAAGCAGACCACGTAATGCTTAGAAAAGAAAGAGGTATTCTGTGCGCTTACGAAACCAGTGGACTAGCGCCAGGACACATTGTCGGTCGCAGCCTTCGCGTTGTATATCGCGACGCAGCATTCATTTATGCCACTGATCATGATGCACGAGACGACATGGCTCTCCACCTCGCTTGAGACTTGGACATTGCAGGTTCACCCCCTGGCAACTGGACTACGTAGGACTACGTTTAGACGGCGATTGGAACACGCGTTTTTCGTTTAATCGCCGGTTGTTGTCTGTGCGAGAGGGGACAATAAGCTTGCATGTATACCATCTCTGTTTGCAAGTGGTTCAAGCTATTATTTTTCCCACATTGTCCACCAGAGATCCGTCATTGTGCGTGAGTGCTATGACCTACATGCTGGTGGGAAAGAAAAGAGCGACGAGGGACTAGCTGTATTGCTGCCCCTGTAGGTTGCCGACAGACACTGTGCTTAGGATGTGGTGGTAAAATTTGTGGCGAATTTGATGTCTTGTTGTGATGCTAATTCCGAGTTGGGAACTGTTAGAGTGGACGGTGTCATGGGATTGGGTGTTGTGTTTAGTAGCGCGATGTTCGTGCCTAAGGCACGGTCCCCACTTGCTAGCAGGGAGACGATGGACATTGCTGGTGCCGTCGGTGGAGCTGTGTGAAGTAGAGATGCTGAGAGAGGGGAGAGTGCTGGGGTGTTGGTGATTGTGATCGTCGGCGATCCGCCTCAACGGTCCCCCGTTGTGAGGCTTAAACCACTGACGAATATGGAAGGGGATTGAGGGAGTGGGACATTGAGCCTTCTCCCGAAGAGCCCTACACTGGTTGGCTAGTGGAACCTCGTGTCTGGCGTGTATTGTGGCGGAGATTGTAGTGAGCAAAGGGCTGGTGGTTGGGGGTTTAAGGCGACATTTCGTCATCACTTGAGGTTGGCGTAGGCCATGACAGAGAGTGCTTGTGTCAGCGTTTTCTGACGGCGTAGCACTGTTGGTATTTTCTTTCCTCATTGCTCACCAGAGATCCGTCATTGTGCGTGGAGTGCTATGGCCTACATGCTGGTTGGAAAGAAAAGGGCGACGAGGGACCAGCTTTATTGCTGCTCCCGTATGTTGCCGACAGACACTGTGCTTTTGATGTGGCGCTGGGATTTTTGGCGACCTTGGCGTCCTGATGTACTGCGAATTCCGAGTTGGGGGCTTTTAGAGGGGGACCTTGAGACGAGGAGGTCGTTGTGCAGTGTTTCATTTGGAAATCAGAGCATGTCGGGTGTCATGAAGTATGGGTTTTGTGTTTTATAAGGGGATATTGGTGCGCAAATCACCATCCGTCCCTGCCTGCTATGGGGCAGGGAGACGATGGAACTGTGGTATGTGTGTTAGTGATGCTGTGAGAGGGCAGAGGTATGGAGTGTGGGTAATTGCGATCGTCGGCGATCCGCCTCAACGGTTTCTCGTTGTGAGGCTTAAACCACTGACGAATATGGAAGGGGTTTGAGGGAGTGCGGGGTATTCAGCCTTCTCCCGGAGAGCCCTACACTGGTTGGCTAGTCGAACCTCGTGTCTGGTGTGTATTCTGACGGCGATTGTAGTGGCAAGGGGTTGGTGGTTGGGAGTTTGTTTTGTGTAGTTGGAGACTGTATGCAGATGAAGCTGCAGTTGGGGTGGGGGAGGGGTGAGGCGTGTGATGTTGTCAATCAATTTTATACCCCTGACTGCTCTGCCGCAAGTGTTGTCGGAGCCTGAGACTCTCTCGCTCGGCTAGGCGTCGTGGCCTGGAAGATTGCCAACGGACAATGGAAGACAGAGATGGCAGTCAGTTAAGTATTTCTGCTTTTTTGTCCTGACGGACTGGCGAACTGAGAGCCAGGCTGCATTAGCTCCTTCCTTACGTAGCGTCTGGCACCCTCAGGCATTTGAGCTGCATGCCCCGCACCCGATTTTATGCGAAGTTCAGGTGCTTGTGTCTGAGGCGGGGTAGTGTATGTGACATGCCTAGGTGTGAGTTTACGGCGTGCCAGTCACCTGCGTCCTCGCTGTCCTTTGGTCCTCTTGACTCCGTCCTGACATAGGGTGTAGACAGATGATGATGATGATGATGATGATGTAAGGCCGTGATGGTGCATAAGGGTGATAGTTTGGTGGAGAAAGGCAGGGGTTCCACTTATTCCATCACCGTCTTTCTAGTGGTTTAAAGGGTCGCTTTTTTGAAAACTCAAGTCTGCGAACAGGGGTTTTCGGTCATGCTTCGTCAGGTTAATGCAGTTGCATAAGGGAATGAAAATACACAAAATTAACTGTTTGTATCGGTGTGTTAAGGACTAATAAATGATTAACGCTCACCATCCCCACGCCGCCCGGATGGCTGGGCCGGGGGATTTTTTTCTTCAGGGCTACGGGTGGGTGGGGGGCGGAGGGCAAGAGAGTCTTTAAGTGATGTTCTTGGATTGAGTACACGGAGTACCCATCAATGTAATTAGGGATTTGAGGCAACATGTCGTCATTACTTGAGGTTGGCGTAGACCATGATAGAGAGAGAGTGCTTGTGTCAGCGTTTTCTGACAGTATAACACTGGCTTAACTGTTGGTATTTTGCGTGCGTAATTGTCCACCAGAGATCCGTCATTGTGCGTGTGGTGCCATGACCTACATGGTGGTGGGAAATAAAAGAGCGACGATGGACCAGCTGTATTGCTGTTCTTGTAGGTCGCCAACAGACACTGTGTTTAGACCGTGGAGCTAGGATTTGTGGCGACGTTGGCGTCTTGTTGTGATGCTAATTCCGAGTTGGGGAGTTTTGTTGGGGGCCTTGAAGAGGAGGTTGTGGTGCAGTGTTTCATGCGGGAATCAGAGCATGTCGGCTGGAGCTGTTTGAGGTAGAGATGCCGAGAGAGGGCAGAGCGATGGGGTGTGTGTGGTTGCGCTCGTCGGCGATCCGCCTCAACGGTCCCCCGTTGTGAGGCTTAAACTACTGACGAATATGGAAGGGGATTTTGAGGGAGGGGGGCATTCAGCCTTCCCCCGATAAGCCCTACACTGGTTGGCTGGTCGAACCTCGCGCCTGGTGTGTATTCTGGTTGATTTGTTGTACGGCTGCTTTGGCTCCTTGCTAACGGGACCTCTGGCACTCCGAGACATTTGAGCTCTATGCCACGCGCCCGATTTTGTGTGAAGTGCTGGCGCTTTTGTTTCGTTTCGGGGTCATATATGTGGCACCCTCAGACGAGGTCACTATCTATGACGGACACTGCGCCAATCGACCGATGTATCGTTTGTATCACCTGAATTTTCTTAGTTGGTACCTGGTTATCCGGTGTTTCCGCCTATTGTAGGTTTCGAATTCACTGCCTGCTTAAGATGCTTGTGAAGAGGCCCCAGTTTTGTGGGGTAAGATGGGTGTGTCGTAGCCTTTGGAATAATTTATGGTGATTGTACGGAGACCGAGCACAATGGAATTCCAGGGAGACTGAATGATGGACTTAGCGCAGTAAATAGCTGCGCCAGGCGAAGGGGGACGCATTCCGTGAACGGATCAGGCACCATCGACAAAATACGTTCAGGCATCGAGTGAAACGTGAGCTGAAGCAGCATGCATCACATTTCTAAGGCAGCATTCTCTTGATCGACGGCCAGTGGTCCATGAATAACGTTTTACATGTAGTTAGCATATATTGGGCAAAGAGGTGAACTTGGAAGAAGGCCACGTGTTGCTTTACGCCACCCACTTTCAGAGGGGTATTGTGTACTGCTACGAGACCTGCGAACTAGCACCATACCTTAACCATCGATGGCAGCCATATGAGCCACTGGCTACTTCCGCGTAGTATATGGCCGTGCAACGGTGTTCTATGCCACCAATTATGAGGTGCCGTAAGTTTGAAGTGAGGTGATGCTTCACCTCGCTGCAGACTTGTGTCTTGTGGCTGATTCACTTCCTGGCAATGGAACTACGTAGGACATAGGGAGCTGAGAGCGGTTTGGACGCCGGCTGAAGCCCGTGTGTTTGGTTTTCTGAATGATTGTTTGGCGTGGGAGAGAGAGGAGGAGCTTACATTGATAGCATCTCCGTCTGTTGGTGGTTTAGGCTGTTGGTATTTCTCATGTCTCATTGTCCACCAGAGATCCGTCATTGTGCGTGGGGTGCTATGACCTACATGCTGGTGGGAAAGAAAAGTGCGACGATGGACCAGCTGTATTGCTGCTCTTGTAGGTTGCCGACAGATACTGTGCTTAGGATGTGGTGGTAAGAGTTGTGGCGACGCTGGCGTCTTGTTGTACTGCTAATTCCGAGTTGGGGAGTTTTGTTGGGGGCCTTGAAGAGGAGGTTGTGGTGCAGTGTTTCATGCGGGAATCAGAGCATGTCGCCTGGAGCTGTGTAGGGTAGAAATGCCGAGAGGGCAGAGCGATGGGGTGTGTGTGGTTGCGCTCGTCGGCGATCCGCCTCAACGGTCCCCCGTTGTGAGGCTTAAACCACTGACGAATATGGAAGGGGATTTTGAGGGAGCAGGGCATTCAGCCTTCGCCCGATGAGCCCTACACTGGTTGGCTGGTCGAACTGCGTATCTGGTGTGTATTGTGGCAGAGATTGTAGTGAGCAAAGGGCTGGTGGTTGGGGATTTAAGGCGACATTTCGTCATCACTTGAGGTTGGCGTAGGCCATGATAGAGAGTGCTTGTGTCAGCGTTTTCTGACGACGTAGCACTGTTCGTATTTTCTTTCCTCATTGCTCACCAGAGATCCGTCATTGTGCGTGGAGTGCTATGACCTACATGCTGGTGGGAAAGAAAAGGGCGACGACGGACCAGCTTTATTGCTGCTCCCGTATGTTGCCGACAGACACTGTGCTTTCGATGTGGCGCTGGGATTTGTGGCGACTTTGGCGTCCTGATGTACTGCGAATTCCGAGTTGGGGGCTTTTAGAGGGGGACCTTGAGACGAGGAGGTCGTTGTGCAGTGTTTCATTTGGAAATCAGAGCATGTCGGGTGTCATGAAGTATGGGTTTTGTGTTTAATAAGGGGATATTGGTGCGCAAATCACCATCCGTCCCTGCCTGCTATGGGGCAGGGAACTGTGGTATGTGTGTTAGTGATGCTGTGAGAGGGCAGAGGTATGGAGTGTGGGTAATTGCGATCGTCGGCGATCCGCCTCAACGGTTTCTCGTTGTGAGGCTTAAACCACTGACGAATATGGAAGGGGCTTGAGGGAGTGCGGGGTATTCAGCCTTCTCCCGATGAGCCCTACACTAGTTGGCTAGTGGGACCTCGTGTCTGTTGTGTACTCTGGCGGACATTGTGGTGGGCGAGGGGCTGGAGGCTGGGAGTATGTTTTTGTGCAATCGGAGACTGTATAGATGAAGTTGCAGTCGGAGTGAATGAGAAGTGAGACGTGTGATGTCAGTCAGTCTTATCGGAGCCGGAGACTGTCTCGGTCGGCTAGGCGTTGTGGCCTGGTAGATTGCCAACGGACAATGGAAGACACAGCTGGCAGTCAGCTCAGTATTTCTGGTTTTTTCGTTTTGGCGGACTGGCGAGCTGAGAGCCAGGCTGCAGTAGCCCCTTTCTTATGTAATCTCTGGCATCCTCAGGCATTTGAGCTGCATGCCGTCCACCCGATTTAATGCGAAGTGCAGGTGCTTGTGTCTGGGGGCGGGGTAGTGTATGTGACATGCCTAGGTGTGAGTTTACGGCGTGCCAGTAACCTGCGTCCTCGCTGGCCTTTGGTCTTCCTTACTCTGTCCTGTGCAGACAGACGATGAGGAGAGAGAGAGCGGTAGGTGCAGTGCAAGCGTAAAACGATTCACGTGTAAGTCACCTTCCCTGCTCTCACGCTGTTTTGGAGCAGACAGTGGGTTTCGTCGGTCATGAGGGTGGAAATGTTGCGTGGTGAGGTGAAGATGTGTGTTGGTTGATGACGATTTTGGCGCCTCCAATTTAGGGGGAAAGGCCGTAATGGGACATAAGGGTGATGGTTTGGTTGTGACCGGTAGAGGCTCCACTTATGCCATCACCGTTTTTCACGTAGTTTAAAATGTTGTTATTTTGGAAACTCAAGTCGGAGAACAGGGGTTTTCGGTCATTCTTCGTGAGGTCAATGCAGTTGCATAAGGGTATGAAAATACACAAAATTAACTGTTTTTATAGGTGTGTTAAGGACTAATAAATGATTAACGCTCACCATCCCCACGCCGCCCGGATGGCTGGGCCGGGGGATTTTTTTCTTCAGGGCTACGGGTGGGTGGGGGGGGGAGGGCAAGAGAGTCTTTAAGTGATGTTCTTGGATTGAGTACACGGAGTACCCATCAATGTAATTAGGGATTTGAGGCAACATGTCGTCATTACTTGAGGTTGGCGTAGACCATGATAGAGAGGGAGAGTGCTTGTGTCAGCGTTTTCTGACAGTATAACACTGGCTTAACTGTTGGTATTTTGCGTGCGTAATTGTCCACCAGAGATCCGTCATTGTGCGTGGGGTGCCATGACCTACATACTGGTGGGAAAGAAAAGAGCGACGAGGGACCAGCAGTATTGCTGCTCTTGTAGGTTGCCGACAGACACTGTGTTTAGACCGTGGAGCTAGGAGTGGCGACGTTGGCGTCTTGTTGTGATGCTAATTCTGAGTTGGGGAGTTTTGTTGGGGGCCTTGAAGAGGAGGTTGTGGTGCAGTGTTTCATGCGGGAATCAGAGCATGTCGGCTGGAGCTGTGTAGGGTAGAGATGCCGAGAGAGGGCAGAGCGATGGGGTGTGTGTGGTTGCGCTCGTCGGCGATCCGCCTCAACGGTTCCCCGTTGTGAGGCTTAAGCCACTGACGAATATGGAAGGGGATTTTGAGGGAGTGCAGGGCATTCAGCCTTCGCCCGATGAGCCCTACACTGGTTGGCTGGTCGAACTGCGTATCTGGTGTGTATTCTGGTTGATTTGTTGTACGGCTGCATTGGCTCCTTGTTAACGTGACCTCTGGTACTCTGAGACATTTCAGCTCTATGCCACGCACCCGATTTTGTGTGAAGTGCTGGCGCTTTTGTTTCGTTTCGGGGTCATATATGTGGCACCGTCAGACGAGGTCACTATCTATGACGGACACTGCGCCAATCGACCGATGAATCGTTTGTGTCACCCGATTTTTCTTAGTTGGTAACTCGTTTTCCGGTGTTCCCGCTTATTGTAGGTTTCGTATTTGCTACCCGTTTCAGATGCTCGTCGAGACTCCCCAGTTTTGTGAGGTAGAATGGGTGTGTAGTACCCTTTAGAATAATTTGTGGTGATTGTACGGAGACCGAGCACAATGGAATTCCAGGGAGACTGAATGATGGATTTAGGGCAGTAAATAGCTGCGCCAGGCGAAGGGAGACGCATTCCGTGAACGGATGAGGCACCATCCGCAGAATTCGTTCAGGCACGGAGTGAAGCATGAGCTCAAGCAGCATGGATCACATTGCAATGACAGAATTCTCTTGATAGAAGACCAGTGGTCCATGAATAATAACGTTTTATTTGTAGTTAGCACGGATTGAGCAAAGAGGTGAACTTGGAAGAAGGCCACGGGTTCCTTTACGCCACCCACATTGAGAGGGGTATTCTATACTGGTGCGGAACCTGCGAACTAGCACCGTGCCTTAAACATCTATGGCAGCCATATAAGTCATTGGCTACCTCCGCTTGGTATATGGCCGTGCAAGGGTGATCTATGCCAGCAATCATGAAGAGCCGTAAGCTTGAAGTGAGGTGAAGCTTCACCTGGCTGCAGACTTGTGTCTTGTGGTTGATTTCTTTCGTGGCACTGGAAGTACGTAGGACATAGGGAGCTGAGAGGGGTTTGCACGCCGGTTGAAGCCCGTGTGTTTGATTTTCTGAATGATTGTGTGGCGTGGGAAAGAGAGAGAGGAGGAGCTTACATTGATAGCATCTCCGTCTGTTAGTGGTTTAGGCTGTTGGTAATTTTCATGTCTCATTTTTCACCAGAGATCCGTCATTGTGCGTGGGGTGCCATGACCTACAAGCTGGTGGGAAAGAAAAGGGCGACGAGGGACCAGCTGTAGTGCTGCTCCTGTAGGTTGCCGACAGACCGTGTGCTTAGGATGTGGTGCTAGGATTTGTGGCGACGTTGGCGTCTTGTTGTACCGCGAATTCCGAGTTGGGGACTGTTAGAAGTGAGGCCTTGAAATGGTGGGTGTCATGGGGTTGGGTGTTGTGTTTAGTCGGGGGATGTTGGTGCCTAAGGCACTGTCCCTGCCTGCTATAGGGAAGGCAGACAGTGGACATTGTTGGTGCCGGCGGTGGAGCTGTGTGGGTTAGAGATGCTGAGATAGGAGAGGGCAGAGCGATGGGGTGTGGGTGTTTGCGATCGTCGGCGATCCGCCTCAACGGTTTCTCGTTGTGAGGCTTAAACCACTGACGAATATGGAAGGGGCTTGAGGGAGTGCGGAGTATTCAGCCTTCTCCCAATGAACCCTACACTAGTTGGCTAGTGGGACCTCGTGTCTGGTGTGTACTCTGGCGGAGATTGTGGTGGGCGAGGGGCAGGAGGCTGGGAGTATGTTTTTGTGCAATCGGAGACTGTATAGATGAAGTTGCAGTCGGAGTGAATGTGAAGTGAGATTTGTGATTTCAATCAATGTTATCGGAGCCTGAGGCTGTCTCGGTCGGCTAGACGTCGTGGCCTGGTAGATTGCCAACGGACAATGGAAGACAGAGCTGGCAGTCAGCTCAGTATTTCTGGTTTTTTCGTGTTGGCGGACTGGCGAACTGAGAGCCAGGCTGCATTAGCCCCTTTCTTATGTAATCTCTGGCATCCTCAGGCATTTGAGCTGCATGCCGCGCACCCGATTTTATGCGAAGTCCAGGTGCTTGTGTCTGGGGCGGGGTACTGTATGTGGCTATGTGTAGGTGTGAGTTTACGGCGTGCCAGTCACCTGCGTCCTCGCTGGCCTTTGGTCTTCCTTACTCTGTCCTGTGCAGACAGACGATGAGGAGAGAGAGAGCGGTAGGTGCAGTGCAAGCGTAAAACGATTCACGTGTAAGTCACCGTCCCTGCTCTCACACTGTTTTGGAGCAGATAGTGTACATCGTCGGTCATGAGGGTGGAACTGTTGCGTGGTGAGGTGATGTGTGTTGGTCGATGATGATTTTGGCGTCTCCAATTTGGGGAGAATTACCGTGATGGGACATTAAGGTGATGGTTTGGTTGTGAGCGGTAGGGGCTCCACTTATGCCATCATCGTTTTTCACGTAGTTTAAACTGTTGTTATTTTGGAAACTCAAGTCGGAGAACAGGCGTTTTCGGTAATTCTCCGTCAGGTCAACAGAGTTACAGCAAGGAATGAAAATACAAAATTGGCAGTGTTTATGGGTGTTTTAAGGACTAATAAATTGCTAACACTCAGCATCTCCACGCCGCTCGCATGACTAGGTTGGGGCAGTTTTTTTCAGGGCTAGGGGTGGGGGGGGGGCAAGAGTGCCTTTGAGTGATGTTCTTGGATTGAGTACACGGAGTACCCATCACTGTAAGTAGGAATTTGAGGCGACATGTCGTCAACACTTGGGGTTGGCGTAGGCCAAGGTCGATACAGTACTTGTTTCAGCGTTTTCTGACAGCATAGCACTGGATTCACTGTTGCTGTCTTTATTTCCTCATTGTCCACCAGAGATCCGTCTTTGTGCGTGGGGTGCTATGACCTACAAGCTGGTGGGAAAGAAAAGAGCGACGAGGGACTAGCTGTATTGCTGCTCCTGTAGTTTGCCGACAGACACTGTGCCTAGGATGTGGTGGTAAGAGTTTTGGCGACGTTGACGTCTTGTTGTACCGCGAATTCCGAGTTGGGGACTGTTAGAATGGAGGTTGTCCTGGGGTTGGGTGTTGTGTTTAGTAGGGCGATGTTGGCGCCTACTCCACTGTTCCTGCCTGCTATAGGAAAGGCAGACAGTGGACATTGTTGGTGCCGGCGGTGGAGCTGTGTGGGGTAGAGACGCTGAGAGAGGAGATTGTGATGGGGTGTGGGTGATTGCGATCGTCGGCGATCCGCCTCAACGGTCCCTCGTTGTGAGGCTTAAGCCTCTGACGAATATCGAAGGGGATTTTGAGGGGGGGGGGGGCATTCAGCCTTCCCCCGATGAGCCCTACACTGGTTGGCTGGTCGAACCTCGTCTTTAGTATGTAATCTGGTTGATTTAGAGTGAGGCTGCATTGGCTCCTTGTGAACGTGACCTCTGGTACTCTGAGACATTTGAGCTCTATGCCACGCACCCGATTTTGTGTGAAGTGCTGGCGCTTTTGTTTCGTTTCGGGGTCATATATGTTGCAGCGTCGGACGAGGTCACTATCTATGACAGACACTGCGCCAATCCCCCTAACCAGACCACAACGGATGAATCCTTTGTGCTACCTGAATTTCCTTGGTACATCGTTATCCGGTGTTTCCGCTTACTGTAGGTTTTGGATCCTCCGCCCGTTTAAGATGTTCGTTAAGACGCCCCAGTTGTGTGAGTTAGAATGGGTGTGTCGTAGCCTTCAGAATAATTTGTGGTGATTGTACGGGGACCGAGCACGATGGAATTCCAGGGAGACTGAATGATGGATTTAGGGCAGTAAATAGCTGCGCCAGGCGAAGGGAGACGCATTCCGTGAACGGATCAGGGACCATCCGCAGAATTCGTTCAGGCATGGAGTGACGCGTGAGCTCAATCAGCATGGATCACATTGCAATGGCAGAATTCTCTTGATAGAAGACCAGTGGTCCATGAATAATAACGTATTATTTGTAGTTAGCACGGATTGGGCAAAGAGATGAACTTGGAAGGAGGCCACGGGTTCCTTTACGCCACTCACATTGAGAGGGGTATTCTATACTGGTGCGGAACATGCGAACTAGCACCATAGCTTAACCATCTATGGCAGCCATATAAGTCATTGGCTACCTCCGCTTGGTATATGGCCGTGCAAGTGTGATCTATGCCAGCAATCATGAAGAGCCGTAAGCTTGAAGTGAGGTGAAGCTTCACCTGGCTGCAGACTTGTGTCTTGTGGTTGATTCCTTTCGTGGCACTGGAAGTACGTAGGACATAGTGAGCAGAAAGCGGTTTGGACGCCGGCTAAAGCCCGTGTGTTTGGTTTTGTCAGTTATTGTGTGGGTTGGGAGGGAGGAGGAGCTTACATTCATGCCATCTTCGTCTGTTAGTGGTTTAGGCTGTTGGTATTTTTTCGTGCCTCATTGTCCACCAGAGATCCGTCATTGTGCGTGGGGTGCAATGACCTACATGCTGGTGGGAAGAAAAGAGCTTTGAGGGACTAGGTGTATTGCTGATCCTGTAGGTTGTCGACAGGCACTGTGCCTAGGATGTGGTGGTAAGAGTTGTGGCGACGTTGACGTCTTGTACTGCGAATTCCGAGTTGGGGACTGTTAGAATGGAGGGTGTCCTGGGGTTGGGTGTTGTGATTAGTAGCGGGATGGTGGTGCCTAATCCATTGTTCCTGCCTTCTGTAGGAAAGGCAGACAGTGGACATTGTTGGTGCCAACGGTGGAGCTGTGTGGGGTAGAGACGCTGAGAGATGAGAGAATTATGGGGCGTTTGTGATTGGGATCGTCGGCGATTCGTCTCAGCGGTCTGTCGTTGTGAGGCTTAAACCACTGGCGAATATGGAAGGGGATTGAGGGAGGGGGACATTCAACCTTCTCCCGATGAGCCCTACACTGGTTGACTGGTCGAACCTCGTATTTAATATGTATTGCGGTGGATTTAGAGTGAGGCTGCATTGGCTCCTTGTTAACGTGTCCTCTGGTACTCTGAGACATTTGAGCTCTATGCCACGCACCCGATTTTGTGTGAAGTGCTGGCGCTTTTGTTTCGTTTCGGGGTCATATATGTGGCACTGTCAGACGAGGTCACTATCTATGACGGACACTGCGCCAATCGACCGATGAATCGTTTGTGTCACCCGATTTTTCTTAGTTGGTAACTCGTTTTCCGGTGTTCCCGCTTATTGTAGGTTTCGTATTTGCTACCCGTTTTAGATGCTCGTCAAGACTCCCCAGTTTTGTGAGGTAGAGTGGGTGTGTAGTACCCTTTAGAATAATTTGTGGTGATTGTACGGAGGCCGAGCACAATGGAATTCCAGGGAGACTGAATGATGGATTTAGGGCAGTAAATAGCTGCGCCAGGCGAAGGGAGACGCATTCCGTGAACGGATTAGGTACCATCCGCAGAATTCGTTCAGGCATGGAGTGACGCGTGAGCTCAATCATCATGGATGGCATTCCAATAGAAGAACAGTCGTCAATGAATAATAACGTTTTATGTCTATTTAGCTTGGACTGGACAAATAGGTGAACTTGGAGGTAGGCCATGTGTTTTAGGTAGGACAGTGAGCAGAGAGCGGTTTAGCCGCCGACTGAAGCCCGTGTGATTGCTTTTGTCAGTGATTTTGTGGTGTAGAAGATAGCAGAAGCTTACATTCATACTATCTCCGTCTGTTGGTGGTTTCTGCTGTTGGTAGTTTTCGTGCCTCATTGTCCACCAGAGATCCGTCATTGTGCGTGGGGTGCTATGACCTACATGCTGGTGGGAAAGAAAAGGGCGACGAGGGACCAGCTGTAGTGCTGCTCCTGTAGGTTGCCGACAGACACTGTGCTTAGGATGTGGTGCTAGGATTTGTGGCGACGTTGGCGTCTTGTTGTACCGCCAATTCCGAGTTGGGGACTGTTAGAAGGGAGGCCTTGAAATGGTGGGTGTCATGGGGTTGGGTGTTGTGTTTAGTAGGGGGATGTTGGTGCCTAAGGCACTGTCCCTGCCTGCTATAGGGAAGGCAGACAGTGGACATTGTTGGTGCCGGCGGTGGAACTGTGTGTGTTTGTTAGTGATGCTGAGAGAAGAGAGAGTGTGATGGGCTGTGGGTGGTTGCGCTCGTCGGCGATCCGCCTCAACGGTCCCCCGTTGTGAGGCTTAAACCACTGACGAATATGGAAGGGGATTTTGAGGGAGGGGGGCATTCAGCCTTCTCCCGATGAGCCCTACACTGGCTGGCTGGTCGAACTGCGTATCTGGTGTGTATTCTGGTTGATTTGTTGTACGGCTGCATTGGCTCCTTGTTAACGTGACCTGGTACTCTGAGAGATTTGAGCTCTATGCCACGTACCCGATTTTGTGTGAAGTGCTGGCGCTTTTGTTTCGTTTCGGGGTCATATATGTGGCACCCTCAGACGAGGTCACTATCTATGACGGACACTGCGCCAATCGACCGATGAATCGTTTGTGTCACCCGATTTTTCTTAGTTGGTAACTCGTTTTCCGGTGTTCCCGCTTATTGTAGGTTTCGTATTTGCTACCCGTTTTAGATGCTCGTCAAGACTCCCCAGTTTTGTGGGGTAAGATGGGTGTGTCGTCCCCTTTAGAATAATTTGTGGTGATTGTACGGGGACCGAGCACGATGGAATTCCAGGGAGACTGAATGATGGACTTAGCGCAGTAAATAGCTGCGCCAGGCGAAGGGAGACGCATTCCGTGAACGGATCAGGTACCATCCGCAGAATTCGTTTAGGCATCGAGTGAAGCGTGAGCTCAAGCAGCATGGATCACATTTCAATGACAGAATTCTCTTGATAGAAGACCAGTGGTCCATGAATAATAACGTTTTATTTGTAGTTAGCACGGATTGGGCAAAGAGGTGAACTTGGAAGAAGGCCACGGGTTCCTTTACGCCACCCACATTGAGTGGGCTATTCTATACTGGTGCGGAACCTGCGAACTAGCACCGTGCCTTAAACATCGATAGCAGCCATATAAGTCATTGGCTACCTCCGCTTGGTATATGGCCGTGCAAGGATGATCTATGCCAGCAATCATGAAGAGCCGTAAGCTTGAAGTGAGGTGAAGCTTCACCTGGCTGCAGACTTGTGTCTTGTGGTTGATTCCTTTCGTGGCACTGGAAGTACGTAGGACATAGTGAGCAAAAAGTGGTTTGGACGCCGGCTAAAGCCCGTGTGTTTGGTTTTACCAATGATTGCCTGGGTTGGGAGGCAGGAGGAGCTTACATTCATGCCATCTTCGTCTGCTAGTGGTTAAGGCTGTTGATATTTTTCGTGCCTCACTGTCCACCGGAGATCCGTCATAGTGCGTGGGGTGCTATGACCTACATGCTGGTGGGAAAGAAAAGAGCGACGAGGGACTAGCTGTATTGCTGCCCCTGTAGGTTGCCGACAGACACTGTGCTTAGGATGTGGTGGTAAAATTTGTGGCGAATTTGATGTCTTGTTGTGATGCTAATTCCAGTTAGGGACTGTTAGGATGAAGGTTATCATGGGATTGGGTGTTGTGTTTAGTAGCGCGATGTTCGTGCCTAAGGCACGGTCCCCACTTGCTAGCAGGGATACGATGGACATTGCTGATGCCGTCGGTGGAGCTGTGTGAAGTAGAGATGCTCAGAGAGGGGAGAGCGACGGACTGTGGGTGATTGCGATCGTCGGCGATCCGCCTCAACGGTCCCTCGTTGTGAGGCTTAAACCACTGACGAATATGGAAGGGGATTTTGAGGGAGCAGGGCATTCAGCCTTCCCCCGATAAGCCTTACACTGGTTGGCTGGTCGAACCTCGTCTTTAGTATGTAGTCTGGTTGATTTAGAGTGAGACTGCATCGACTGCATGCTAACGTGATCTGTGGCACTCTCACGCATTTGATCTGTATGCGGCGCACTGCCTTTGTGTGAAGTTCTGGCGCTTTTGTTTCCTCTCGGGCTCATATATGTGACACCCTGAAACGAGGTAATTATCTATGGCAAATACTGCGGCAATCGCCCTAACCAGACGACTACCGATGAATCCTTTGTACCACCTGAATTTTCTTAGTTGGTACCGCGTTATCCGGTGTTTCCGCCTATTGTAAGTTCCGAATTGACTGCCTGCTTAAGATGCTTGTGAAGAGGCCCCAGTTGTGTGGGGTAAGATGTGTGTGTCGTCCCCTTCAGAATAATTTGTGGTGATTGTACGGAGACCGAGCACAATGGAATTCCAGCGAGAGAGCGGTAGGTGCAGTGCAAGCGTACTATCACTAAAACGATTCACGTGCAAGTTACCGTCCCTGCTCTCATGCTGTTTTGGAGCGGACAGTGGGTGTCGTCGGTCACGACGGCGGGACTGTTGCCTGGTGAGGTGAAGATGTGTGTTGGTTGATGACGATTTAGGCGCCTTCAATTTGAGGTGTATGGCCGTGATGGGGCATAAGGTTGATAGTTTGCTTGAGAGAGGTAGAGGTCCCACTAATGCCATCACCGTTTTTCTAGTGGATTAAAAGGTCGCTATTTTGAAAACTCAAGTCTGCGAACAGGGGTTTTCGGTCATTCTTCGTCAGGTCAATGCAGTTGCATAAGGGAATGAAAATACACAAAATTAACAGGTGTGTTAAGGAGTACCCATCAATGCAATTAGGGATTTGAGGCAACATGTCGTGATTACTTGTGGTTGGCGTAGACCATGATAGAGAGAGAGTGCTTGTGTCAGCGTTTTCTGACAGTATAACACTGGCTTAGCTGTTGTTATTTTTCGTGCGTAATTGTCCACCAGAGATCCGTCATTGTGCGTAGGGTGCTATGACCTACAAGCTGGTGGGAAAGAAAAGAGCGACGTGGGACCAGCTGTATTGCTGCTCCTGTAGTTTGCCGACAGACACTGTGCTTAGGATGTGGGGCTAAGATTTGTGGCGACATTGGCGTCTTGCTGTGATGCTAATTCCGGGTTGGGGGTATTTAGATGGGGACCTTGTGATGACGAGGTCGTCGTACAGTGTTCATTTGGGAATCAGAGCGTGTCGGTTGTCATGAGGTTCGGTGTTGTGTTCAGAAGGGGGATGTTGGTGCACAAGTCACCATCCGTCCCTGCCTCCTATGGGGCAAGGAGACGATGGACGTCGTTGGTAACGAGGGTGGAACTGTGTGGGGTAGAGATGCTGAGATATGACACAGTGATGGGGCATGGGTGGCTGCGATCGTCGGCGATCCGCCTCAACGGTCCCTCGTTTTGAGGCTTAAACCACCGACGAATATGGATGCGGATTGAGGGAGTGCCGCGTTCGGCCTTCTCCCGATGAGCCCTACACTGGTTGGCTGGTCGAACCTCGCGTCTGATGTGTATTTTGGTGGATTTAGAGTTATGTTACATTGGCTCCTTGCTAACGGGATCTCTGGCACTCGCGCATTTGAGGTCTATGTGGCGCATCACCTTTTGTATAAAGTGCTGGCGCCTGAGACGAGGTCACTGTCTATGACAGACACTGTGCCAATCCCCCTATGCAGACAACTACCAATGCATCCTTTGTATCACCTGAATTTTCTTAGTTGGTACCTGGTTATCGGGTGTTACCGCATATTGTAGGTTTCGAATTCGCCGCCTGTTTAAGATGTTCATGAAGAGGCCCCAGTTCTGTGAGGTAGAATAGGCGTGTCGTACCCTTTAGAATTAATTTGTGGTGATTTTCCGGGGACCGAGCACGATGGAATTCCAGGGAGATTGAATGATGGACTTAGCGCAGTAAATAGGTGCGCCAGACGAAGGGAGGCGCATTCCGCGAACGGATGAGGCACCATCCGCAGAATACGTTCAGGCATCGAGTGAAGCGTGAGCTCAATCAGCATGGGTTACATTCCAATGGCAGCATTCTCTTGATAGACGACCAGTGGTCCATGAACAATAACGTTTTATTTGTAGTAAGCACGGATTGGGCGAAGCGGTGATACTTCACCTGGCTGCAGACTTGTGCCTTGTGGCCGATTAACTTCGTGGCAATGGAACTACGTAGGACATGGTAAGCAGAGCGCTTTTGACGCCGGCTAAAGCCCGTGTGTTTGGTTTTCCCAATGATTGTGTGGCGTGGGAGAGAGGAGGAGCTCACATTTATACCCTCTCCGTCTGTTAGTGTTTTAAGCTGTTGGAATTTTCCGTGCCTCATTGTCCACCAGAGATCCGTCATTGTGCGTGGGGTGCTATGACCTACATGCTGGTGGGAAAGAAAAGAGCGACGAGGGACCAGCTGTATTGCTGCTCCTGTAGGTTGCCGACAGACACTGCGCTTAGGATGTGGGGCTAGGAGTGGTAACGTTGGCGTCTTGTTGTACTGCGAATTCCGAGTTAGGGACTGTTAGAATGGAGGGTGTCCTGGGGTTGGGTGTTGTGTTTAGTAGTGGGATGTTGGTGCCTAAGGCACCGTCCCTGCTTGGTATGGGACAGGGAGACGATGGACATTGTTGGTACTGGCGACGGAGCTGTGTGGGGTAGAGATGCCGCGAGAGGAGAGAGTGCTGGGGTGTTGGTGATTGTGATCGTCGGCGATCCGCCTCAACGGTCCCTCGTTGTGAGGCTTAAACCACTGACGAATATGGAAGGGGATTTTGAGGGAGCGGGGCATTCAGCCTTCTCCTGAAGAGCCCTACACTGGTTGGCTGATCGAACCTCGTGTCTAGTGTGGCGACGTTGACGTCTTGTTGTACTGCGAAGTCCGAGTTGGGAACTTTTAGATGGGACCTTGAAGAGGAAGTCGTGCAGTGTTTCATTTGGGAATCAGAGCGTGTCGGGTGGCACGAGGTGGGGTGTTGTGTTTAGTAGGGGGATATTCGTGCGAAAGTCGCCATCCGTCCCTGCCTGCTATGGGGCAGGGAGACGATGGACGTCGTTAGTAACGAGGGCGGAACTGTGTGTATGTGTTAGTAATGCTGAGAGAGGGCGGAGGGATGGGCTGTGGGTAATTGCAATCGTTGGCGATCCGCCTCAACGGTCCCTCGTTTTGAGGCTTAAACCACTGACGAATATGGAAGGGAATTGAGGGAGCGGGGCGTTCAGCCCTCTCCCGATGAGCCCTACACTGGTGGACTGGTCGAACCTCGTATTTAGTATGTAATCTGGTTGATTTAGAGTGAGGCTGCATTGGCTCCTTGGTAGCGTTGCCTGTGACACTCACGCATTTGAGCCTTATTCTGCGCCCCGCCTTTTGTGTGCAGTGCTGGCACTTTTGTTTCGTTTCGGGGTCATATATGTTGCACCGTCAGGCGAGGTCACTATCTATGACAGACACTGCGCAAATCCCCCTAACCAGACCACTACCGATGAATCCTTTGTGCTACCTGAATTTCCTTGGTACATCGTTATCCGGTGTTTCCGCTTACTGCAGGTTTTGGATCCTCCACCCGTTTAAGATGTTGGTGAAGACACCCCAGTTGTGTGAGGTAGAATGGGCGTGCCGTAGCCTTTAGAATAATTTGTGCTGATTGATTGTACGGCGACCGAGCACGATGGAATTCCAGGGAGACTGGATGATGAACTTAGCGCAGTAAATAGCTGCGCCAGGCGAAGGGAGACGCATTCCGTGAACGGATCAGGTACCATCCGCAGAATATGTTCAGGCACGGAGTGAAGCATGAGCTCAAGCAGCATGGATCACATTGCAATGGCAGCACTCTCTTGATAGAAGACCAGTGATCCATGAATAATAACGTTTTATTTGTAGTTAGCACGGATTGGGCGAAGCGGTGATACTTCACCTGGCTGCAGAATTGTGTCTTGTGGTTGATTCACTTCGTGGCAGTGGAAGTACGTAGGACATGGTAAGCAGAGTGCTTTTGACGCCGGCTAAAGCCCGGGTGTTTGGTTTTCTGGATGATTGTGTGGCGTTGGAAAGAGAGAGAGGAGGAGCTTACATTTATACCCTCTTCGTCTGTTAGTGGTTTAAGCCGTTGGAATTTTTCGTGCCTCATTGTCCACCAGAGATCCGTCATTGTGCGTGGGGTGCTATGACCTACAAGCTGGTGGGAAAGAAAAGAGCGATGAGGGACTAGCTGTATTGCTGCTCCTGTAGGTCGCCAACAGACACTGTGCTAAGGATGTGGGACTAAGATTTGTGGCGACTTTGGTGTCTTGCTGTTGGGGACTGTTAGAAGGGAGGCCCTGAAATGGAGGGTGTCATGGAGTTGGGTGTTGTGTTTAGTAGGGGGATGGTGGACATCGTTTGTAACGACGGTGGATGAGTGTGTGTGGTAGTGATGCTGAGAGAGGAGAGACTGATGGGGTGTGGGTGATTGCGGTCGTCGGCGATCCGCCTCAACGGTCCCTCGTTGTGAGGCTTAAACCACTGACGAATATGGAAGGGGATTGAGGGAGCAGGGCATTCAGCCTTCTCCTGAAGAGCCCTACACTGGTTGGTTGGTCGAACCTCGTGTCTAGTGTGTATTCTGACGCAGGTTATAGTGGGGCGGGGGGCTGGTGGTTGGGTGTTTGTTTTCGTGTATTTGGAGACTGCGTGTATATGAAGCTGCAGTCGGAGTGGGGTAGGGGTGAGGCGTGTGATGTTGTCAATCAATTTTATACACCTGACTCCTCTGTCGCAAGTGTTATTGGAGCCTGAGACTGTCTCTGTCGGCTAGGCGTCGTGGCCTGGAAGATTGCCAACGGACAATGGAAGACAGAGCTGGCAGTCCGCTTAGTATTTCTCGTTTTTTCGTGTTGGCGGACTGGCGAACTGAGAGCCAGGCTGCATTAGCCCCTTTCTTATGTAATCTCTGGCATCCTCAGGCATTTGAGCTGCATGCCGCCCGCCTGATTTTATGCGAAGTCCAGGTGCTTGTGTCTGGGGCGGGGTTGTGGGAGGGCAAGAGAGTCTTTAAGTGATGTTCTTGGATTGAGTACACGGAGTACCCATCAATGTAATTAGGGATTTGAGGCAACATGTCGTCATTACTTGAGGTTGGCGTAGACCATAATAGAGAGAGAGAGAGTGCTTGTGTCAGCGTTTTCTGACAGTATAACACTGGCTTAACTGTTGGTATTTTGCATGCGTAATTGTCCACCAGAGATCCGTCATTGTGCGTGTGGTGCCGTGACCTACATGCTGGTGGGAAAGAAAAGTGCGACGATGGACCAGCTGAGAGAGGGCAGAGCGATGGGGTGTGTGTGGTTGCGCTCGTCGGCGATCCGCCTCAACGGTCCCCCGTTGTGAGGCTTAAACCACTGACGAATATAGGAGGGGATTTCGAGGGAGCAGGGCATTCAGCCTTCGCCCGATGAGCCCTACATGGAGTTGGGTGTTGTGTTTAGTAGGGGGATGTTGGTGCCTAAGGCACCGTCCCTGCCTGTTATAGGGAAGGCAGACAGTGGACATTGTTGGTGCCGGCGGTGGATGAGTGTGTGTTTGTTAGTGATGCTGAGAGAAGAGAGAGTGTGATGGGGTGTGGGTGATTGTGATCGTCGGCGATCCGCCTCAACGGTCCCTCGTTGTGAGGCTTAAACCACTGACGAATATGGAAGGGGATTGAGGGAGGGGGGCATTCAGCCCTCTCCCGATGAGATCTACGCTGGTTGGCTGGTCGAACCTCGTATTTAATATGTAATCTGGTTGATTTAGAGTGAGGCTGCATCGACTCCATGCTAACGTGATCTGTGGCACTCTCACGCATTTGATCTGTATGCGGCGCACTGCCTTTTGTGTGAAGTTCTGGCGCTTTTGTTTCCTCTCGGGGTCATATATGTGGCACCCTGAGACGAGGTCATTATCTATGGCAAATACTGCGGCAATCGCCCCAACCAGACGACTACCGATGAATCCTTTGTGCCACCTGAATTTTCTTAGTTGGTACCTGGTTATCCGGTGTTCCCGCTTATGGTAGGTTTTTAATTCGCTACCCGTTTAAGATGCTTGTGAAGAGGCCCCAGTTCTGTGAGGTAGAATGGGTGTGTCGTACCATTTAGAACAATTTGTGGTGATTGTACGGGGACCAAGCGGGAATGAATTCCAGGGAGACTGAATGATGGACTTAGCGCAATAAATAGCTGCGCCAGGCGAAGGGAGACGCATTCCGTGAACGGATCAGGCACCATCGACAAAATACGTTCAGGCATCGAGTGAAACGTGAGCTCAATCAGCATGGATCGCATTCCAATAGAAGAACAGTCGTCAATGAATAATAACGTTTTATATCTATTTAGCTTGGACTGGGCAAATAGGTGAACTTGGAAGAAGGCCACGTGTTGTAGGTAGGACAGTGAGCAGAGAGGGGTTTGGCCGCCGACTGAAGCCCGTGTGATTGATTTTGTCAGTTATTTTGTGGTGTGGGAGATAGCAGAAGCTTAAATTCATACTATCTCCGTCTGTTGGTGGTTTCGGCCGTTGGTATTTTTCGTGCCTCATTGTCCACCATAGATCCGTCATTGTGCGTGGGGTGCTATGACCTACAAGCTGGTGGGAAAGAAAAGAGCGACGAGGAACCAGCTGTATTGCTGCTCCTGTAGGTCGCCAACAGACAGTGTGCTTAGGATGTGGAACTAGGAGTGTAGACGTTGGCGTCTTGTTGTACTGCGCATTCCGAGTTGAAGATTTTTAGAGGCGGGCCTAGTAGAAGAGGTCGTCGTGCAGTATTTCATTTCGGAATCAGAGCATGTAGGATGTCATGCGGTTGGGTGTTGTGTTTAGTCGGGGGATGTTGGTGCGCAGGTCACATCCGTGCCATTCTGGTATGGGGCAGGAAGACCTTGGACATTGTTGGTGCCGGCAGTGGAGCTGTGTGGGTTAGAGATGCTGAGATAGAAGAGGGCAGAGGGAACTACGTAGGACATAGGGAGCTGAGAGCGGTCTGCACGCCGGCTGAAGCCCGTGTGTTTGGTTTTCTGAATGATTGTTTGGCGTGGGAGAGAGGAGAAGCTTACATTGAATGCATCTCCGTCTGTTGGTGGTTTAGGCTGTTGGTATTTTTCATGTCTCATTGTCCACCAGAGATCCGTCATTGTGCGTGGGATGCTATGACCTACAAGCTGGTGGGAAAGAAAAGAGCGACGAGGGACTAGCTGTATTGCTGCTCCTGTAGGTCGCCAACAGACACTGTGCTTAGGATGTGGGACTAAGATTTGTGGCGACTTTGGTGTCTTGCTGTTGGGGACTGTTAGAAGGGAGGCCCTGAAATGGAGGGTGTCATGGAGTTGGGCGTTGTGTTTAGTAAGGGGATGGTGGACATCGTTTGTAACGACGGTGGATGAGTGTGTGTTTGTTAGTGATGCTGAGAGAAGAGAGAGTGTGATGGGGTGTGGGTGATTGTGATTGTCGGCGATCCGCCTCAACGGTCCCTCGTTGTGAGGCTTAAACCACTGACGAATATGGAAGGGGATTGAGGGAGGGGGGCATTCAGCCCTCTCCCGATGAGATCTACGCTGGTTGGCTGGTCGAACCTCGTCTTTAGTATGTAATCTGGTTGATTTAGAGTGAGGCTGCTTCGACTGCATGCTAACGTGATCTGTGGCACTCTCACGCATTTGATCTGTATGCGGCGCACTGCCTTTTGTGTGAAGTTCTGGCGCTTTTGTTTCCTCTCGGGCTCATATATGTGGCACCCTGAGACGAGGTCATTATCTATGGCAAATACTGCGGCAATCGCCCTAACCAGACGACTACCTATGAATCCTTTGTGCCACCTGAATTTTCTTAGTTGGTACCGCGTTATCCGGTGTTTCCGCCTATTGTAAGTTTCGAATTAACTGCCTGCTTAAGATGCTTGTGAAGAGGCCCCAGTTGTGTGGGGTAAGATGTGTGTGTCGTCCCCTTTAGAACAATTTGTGGTGATTGTACGGGGACCGAGGACGACGGAATTCCAGGGGGACTGAATGATGGACTTAACGCAATAAATAGCTGCTCCAGGCGAAGGGAGACACATTCCGTGAACGGATGAGGCACCATCCGCAGAATATGTTCAGACACGGAGTGAAGCATGAGCTCAAGCAGCATGGATCACATTGCAATGGCAGAATTCTCTTGATAGAAGACCAGTGGTCCATGAATAATAACGTTTTATTTGTAGTTAGCACGGATTGGGCAAAGAGGTGAACTTGGAAGAAGGCCACGGTTTCTTTTACGCCACCCACATTGAGAGGGGTATTCTATACTGGTGCGGAACCTGCGAACTAGCACCGTGCCTTAAACATCGATGGCAGCCATATAAGTCATTGGCTACCTCCGCTTGGTATATGGCCGTGCAAGGGTGATCTATGCCAGCAATCATGAAGAGCCGTAAGCTTGAAGTGAGGTGAAGCTTCGCCTGGCTGCAGACTTGTGTCTTGTGGTTGATTCCTTTCGTGGCACTGGAAGTACGTAGGACATAGTGAGCAAAAAGTGGTTTGGACGCCGGCTGAAGCCCGTGTGTTTGGTTTTGCCAATGATTGCCTGGGTTGAGATGGAGGAGGAGTTTACATTCATGCCATCTTCCTCTGTTAGTGGTTTAGGCTGTTGGTATTTTTCTTTCCTCATTGTCCACCAGAGATCCGTCATTGTGCGTGGGGTGCTATGACCTACAAGCTGATGGGAAAGAAAAGAGCGACGAGGGACTAGTTGTATTGCTGCACCTGTAGTTTGCCGACAGATACTGTGCCTAGGATGTGGTGGTAAGAGTTGTGGCGACGTTGACATCTTGTTGTACTGCGAATTTCGAGTTGGGGACTGTTAGAATGGAGGGTGTCATGGGGTTGGGTGTTGTGTTTAGTAGGGGGATGGTGGTGCCTAAGGCACTGTCCCTGCCTGCTATAGGGAAGGCAGACAGTGGACATTGTTGGTGCCAAAGGTGGATCTATGTGGGGTAAAAACGCTGAGAGAGAGAAGAGAGTGATGGGGTGTGGGTGATTGCGATCGTCGGCGATCCGCCTCAACGGTCCCTCGTTGTGAGGCTTAAACTACTGACGAATATGGAAGGGAATTGAGGGAGCGGGGCATTCAGCCGATGAGCCCTACACTGGTGGACTGGTCGAACCTCGTGTCTAGTGTGTATTGCGGTGGATTTAGAGTGAGGCTGCATTGGCTCCTTGGTAGCATTGCTTGTGACACTCACGCATTGGAGCCGTATGCTGCGCCCCGCCTTTTGTGTGTAGTGCTGGCACTTTTGTTTCGTTTCGAGGTCATATATGTTGCACCGTCAGACGAGGTCACTATCTATGACGGACACTGCGCCAATCCCCCTTACCAGACCACAACCGATGAATCCGTTGTGCCACCTGAATTTCCTTGGTACCTCGTTATCCGGTGTTTCCGCTTACTGTAGGTTTTGAATCCTCTGCCCGTTTAAGATGTTCGTTAAGACGCCCAAGTTGTGTGAGGTAGAATGCGCGTGTCGTAGCCTTGAGAATAATTTGTGGTGATTGATTGTACGGGGACCGAGCAGGATGGAATTCTAGGGAGACTGAGTGATGGACTTAGCGCAGTAAATAGCTGCGTCATGTGAAGGGAGACGCATTCCGTGAACGGATCAGGGACCATCCGCAGAATGCGTTCAGGCATCGATTGAAATGTAAGCTCAAGCAGAATGGATCACAATTCAATGGCAGCACCCTCTTGATAGAAGACCAGTGGTCCATGAATAATTACGTTTTATTTGTAGTTAGCACGAATTGGGCAAAGCGGTGATACTTCACCTGGCTGCAGAATTGTGTCTTGTGGTTGATTCCTTTCGTGGCACTGGAAGTACGTAGGACATAGTGAGCAAAAAGTGGTTTGGACGCCGGCTGAAGCCCGTGTGCTTGGTTTTCCCAATGATTGTGTGGCGTGGGAGGGAGGAGGAGCCTACATTTATACCCTCTCCGTCTGTTAGTGGTTTAAGCTGTTGGAATTTTTCGTGCCTCATTGTCCACCAGAGATCCGTCATTGTGCGTGGGGTGTTATGACCTACAAGCTGGTGGGAAAGAAAAGGGCGACGAGGGACTAGCTGTATTGCTGCTCCTGCAGGTTGCCGACATACACTATGCTTAGGATGTGGTGGTATTATTTGTGGCGACTTTGACGTCTCGTTGTACTGCGAATTTCGAGCTGGGGACTGTTAGAATGGAGGTTGTCGTGGGGTTGGATGTTGTGTTTGGTAGCGGTTTGGGGGTGCCTAAGGCACCGTCCCTGCTTGCTATGGGACAGGGAGGCGACGGTGCTGTGTGGGGTAGAGACGCTGAGAGAAGAGAGAGTTTGATGGTGTGTGGGTGATTGTGATCGTCGGCGATCCGCCTCAACGGTCCCTCGTTGTGAGGCTTAAACCACTGACGAATATGGAAGGGGATTGAGGGAGTGCGGGGAATTCAGCCTTCTCCCGATGAGCCCTACACTGCTGTCTGCTTTGTGTGCCTTGCCGCTGCATTCGTTTCCGTTTATCATAATGTTGTGCCGACAAAGGCTATCGCCGTGATCAAGGCTTACCACCGCGTTATTTCTGTCTCGCAGCTGTCTCTCCCATGCGTTCGGTGAGATTCAGGAGGTCCTGTTCCGGGTGAGTCCTAGTAGCCGTCTTTGAAGACCGGCTGGTTTGACATACACCGCCAAGGGTTGTTTATGAAGGTGCTGCACGGATGCATTATATGCGTAGTGAAGGATTGTCGTGACTGCGGCCTCTTGTGCTTTGTCTGATCTGATGCAGGGACCTGTGAGCGCACAGTCGGCGTCGTTTTTTTTCCGCCGCGTTTTCTAACCTTTTTTGAGCGGGATGCTCAATTCCACCTTTTGTTTGTTGACTTTTCGGCCGCCTATGCGTACATTTTTGTGCTATTTTATCCCTGGCTAAGTATGTCCTTCCGGTTCTTTTAATGTCGTACTGTGTGCGATTGCCGTTGCCGCGACCGTTGCGACATTATGGCCATCTTATGTTCCGATTTGTAAATGGACGTGTTACTTTCTATGTTGTCTTTTTCCGCATTTATCCTATATGGCTATTTTCAGCGTGAAAATGACCCCTCACCGATATTTCCTCGTGTTCAAAAGCTTCCATTTATGTGCCCTCTCAAATAGTTTATTTACTGGCCGTTTCGGATTTTCACTCGTACCCATCATGCGGAGATGCATAACCAGTCGTTCTCTCCTCCGCCCGCCCTGCCTCTCTCATCGCATTTTTTGTATTGGGCATCGCTCGGCTTTTTCGCTCCGACTCGCTAGGTCACGATTGCGCCGTTCGTACTTGTTAGCTGGTTCTTTTCCTCAGCACCTGATTCTAATGCTTGACGTCTCAGACACAGTAGTTTAAGTCTCCGCAATCGCCCCGACGCCGGCGGTTGGGGCCATACTGTGTGAGGGAGTCGCGCTACAACCTATCACCGTTTTAAGGGTAGCCGGCTTTCTAACCTGCGTTTTCCGTGACCTATTGTCCACTCCACCGCTCCCTCCCCTCCCCTCGCCCCCCCCCCCCCTCCTGAGTGGGAATTTCAGCACGACTCCACGGCAGAGCGACTGATAAATAAATAAATAAATTTTTATTTAATGCCAGTTTACAGGCATTGTCAAGGGAAGCGATTAAACACAAATCCGACCAGCAGTGAAAAAAAACTCCTGAGCTTAAGGGATAAAAATATAGTTGATGGTGGTTTTTGTGGTTTGGTGGGCTCAGGAGAAAAAACTGCCGGCGGTGGTAGAATATCGACCGTCAAGAAGGGGGGAGGTTGCACGGTATCGGAGATTATCGGACGTCAAATTCCTTTCATGAGACTGATGTGATTAGCTGATTCGCCATTATGTACATCTTCTCTCCGCAGAATAAAAACCACCCCCCCGCAATAACTTGGTTAGACTAGAAAGCAAATGAGGTTATTTACAGTCCGGTCAGTTTCCCTGCGTTCGATTACAAGAAAGTAGTGTCCGTTTCATGCATTTTCTTCATTATATGTGTTCGCGTGTGCATCGGAAATGTCTAACAGTTTGAATTATGTGCAAACTGGGTTAGACGAAAGGGGTCAATTTTAAATTTTGCATTTACAGCACACAAAGGTTTTACCTCATCATGGCGGGGTCCGACTGCAACAACTGCCTGATAGCTCCGAAATGCCTTCTTTTTCGGTCTCACGATACCAGACCGCATCGGGAAAAGTGGCAGTACGCTTTTTACTTGACCAATCTATCCCCCCCCCTGACAAAACGGACCGCGGATAGGCGGAAACCGAAGGCCACCTCATGCCAGATAATTTATCACAGAAAGAGTCATACTGGAACAATCCAGTGCATGCGGCTATATCAATGTGCTGGGTAGCGCCGAAGGGGTGACTTACTGTAGCAATGAATTAATAAGCTAAACAAGGCCTACTAAAATAAATGTAGTAGTTGATTATACACATTTAACTCAGTGTTCCGCACTGTTCCGCTCTGTCTTGCCTCGAAATGTCTTCTTTTTCAGTTTCATGCTTTATCCCTTGCCCATGATTCTAGCGCGCACTAGGACAAGTGACAGGAAGCTTTTTATTTGACCAGTTTCTCCCCCCCTCCCTAATGCGTGACATCGCGAGCTGGCCTAAGTACCGCTTATAGTCTGTTCTTACCCACCCTCGCCACCAGTCTAGTTTTACTTTTAGTTCCCGTTTGCTCTTTACCCTAGTTGCTGCATCGATGAGCTGGCCGGCGAGCGCTGGGGTGTTGACGCCATTATTCACTATGGCAACGCCTGCCTCTCGGCCACCGTCGGTCGCGTACCCTTCCGGCACGTCTTCGGTCGTCCCGCCTGTCCGGCTCTACAGCACCTGCCCCGCATCTGCCATCAACTCGCCAGCCTTATTTGTCCCCAGGACAAGGACAGTACCACCTCAGGTGTCCTCTTCGCCTGTGACTTCCGCTATCAGGCTGCGGCCCGCCAGATTGCGGAGGCTTTGGCTGCCGCGCTGACTCCGCACAGCGTTTGTGTGTGGCTGGGAGAACCGGCCACTGGCAGTGGTGGTGCGACGACAGGCTTGATGCACGCGGGACGGCGCTTTTCGCCCTGCTGCGGAGCCTCCGCAGTCAGGGCGGCGTCTGATCTGCCACCGACGACGGCGACGACGCTGGTCTACCTCGGCGCCTGTGATGCCGCCTTCTACCGCGTCCTCGTGACCCTACGACAGGCCTACGCCATCACCGCTCTGACGATTGATCCGCAGAGCGGCGAGGTTGCACCCGCAAAGAAGTCTGCAGCCGCCTTCCTACGTCGTCGCTATCACCTCATGGAGAAGGCCAAGGAGGCTAAACGTATTGGCATTCTTGTGCGTAGTTCTGGGGACACCTTCCCTCATTTCTTCATACATGAGAAGCCTTAGAATTCTCATTTTCTGGGCGGCGGGCTGATTGCCTTCTTGAGCGGACCTTCATCCTCCTCGTTGCTAGATTGAATGCTCTAGGGATAGTCATTGTTAGCGTTCACGCGTTCCACCTCCAGATAAGATGACCGGCCTCTACACCTCTAAGGCCTTCAAGTCAAGGAAATGCAGTACCAAAATTGACTTGAACCGGTTTCTCCTTCAAGTGGGTTAATCCTGGGGATCGTGCAGGGGTAGAATAACATGAGGGTGCTTGAAGCCGGCTAGGTCAGAAGTCACAGCCGATAAACTCGGGTCTGGCGTAGCCATCCTCTCTCCCCCCGGCAGTTTTTTAGGCAGCAGGGGAAGGCCTTAGTACAACTGAGCTACGAGGCCCCACCTTCCCCTTGCTGTCGTGGGTTCGAATCTGACCGAGCCACCGAGTTTTTCACAGTTGGGTCACTAAGAATTATTCAAAATTCTGCCAGATCATATTCTACTTACGTGACCCTGGTAGTCATCTGGTGGATTCTAGGTGGATTGGCTAGGAAATCCTGTTCGGACAGTCAGCTTACTGTATTAGATTGGGTGGGCTCCAGGCGTTGCAGTTTGTTGGGCGGGTAACTTAACCCAACTGTGACTTAATTCACGTCCCCCGGTGGGTCCTCGTAGCTCAGGTGGCTAGAGTGTTAGCTTTACTAAAGCCTTTCCTTTGCTGTTGTAGGTTCGAATCCAACCGAGGCGCCGAGCCTTTCACAGTTGGATCAGTATATAGTAGGTGGACTAACTCATGAAATGTCAACCGAAATTCCGAAATGCGTTTTCGTTTTGAAAAGATTGATTAAGCGGGGTTATAAAACCAGTCATCGTGCAACATAATTTTATAATAATTCAGTCACCTCAGAATTTCAACTTTCAAACAAACTTCTTTTCAGCTGCATGCAGGAACGACACTCAGTAAAAATAGCTACTTAAGTAGCATGCACTTTTCTCATTGATTTTCGATGCCCTTAAAAAGTCACTTATATTCCATGGAAAACATGCATAAAAATTTTCATTCCTTTTCTCATTCGGTAGAAAATTACGTCTTTCAATTTTACAGTCGAAAGAAGGGTTTAATTTGGTTTTAAAAAAGTTTCTAATTGTGAGATTTCTTAATACTGTGAAATGGCCGCTCATAAAACGTCATGTCTCTGCATTTACTAGTGTTGCTTGCAAATCCACTGCTAAATTCTATGAATCCCATATGATCTCCTCTGAATGCCATAGAGAAATTTACGGTTTTCCGTACGCGGAAAATATCCGGCTTGTAGTTTGGATACTCTGAGTGCAAGTGTAACGGCAGGTCGGGTTCAAAATTATTCGGGAACTGGAAAAGTTTTTTAAAACCAAATTAAACCCTTCTTTCGAGCATAAAATTGAAAGACGACGTAATTTTCTACCAAATGGGAAAAGGAATGAATATTTATATGCATGTTTTCCATGGAATATAACTGACTTTTTAAGGGCATCGAAAATCAATGAGAAAAATGCATGCTACTTAAGTAGCCATTTTTACTGAGTGTCGTTCCTGCGTGAATATGCTTGATGCTGGCAAGACCAAGAATCACAGCCGACACTCCCGGGTCTGGCTGTTTTTTTCAGGTTTTTAGGAAACCGGTGTTTCCTGACGTGAGCAAGGCTGCCGCTTTCTCGTTTAACTAGACCCTCCCTGACTTTTTGTTATGCTATGCAAACGAAGTCGGCGAATTCACAGATTCCTCTGCGAACTCATCTGTTGTAGGCGTTCTTGTCAACGAGCTGGTGGCAGTATATTTGCCTGCTCTGAATCAACTGTGTTTCAAACTACCGTGTTTGCGGTATATCCTTCCTATTGAGTGGGCGCGTTTGCTTGCCACAAAAAACCCGTGTGACCATGCCCTTCCGCCTGCACACTCACAGAGATTCCGATGGGCTTCGGAGTCAGTCCATGTACCAACACACTTCTGAGAATATCTGAGTTTTGTCCCTCCTTCCTAAGTCGTCCTCTTTTTCTCCCGTTTTTCCTTAGATTGGTACCTTATCGACGCAGCGCTACACCGACGTGACTGCCAGGCTAAAGCGGCTTCTACAGGCCGCACACAAGTCTTACCTCACTCTGGTCGTTGGGCGCATCAACGAGGCCAAGCTGTTGAATATCCCACATCTGGGTGCTCTGGTTCTGATAGCTTGCCCGGAGAGCAGTCTGTTTGACGATCCCTCCATCCCACTACCCATTGTGACGCCCTACGAGTTGGAATGCGCTCTTCACTCACTTCTCGCACCGGGGGACCCCGGGGAGGAAGATGGCTGCTCGGGTCGTATTTGGCAGGGTGATCGTCTATGGCTCGATTTCGCTGACATTCTGCCCGGTAAGGACTGTTTTTAGAAGAAAAGGCGGCGAGCCAACGTTGCTTTCGATAACTTCTCGTCAGGCCAATACAGTTACATAGGGCGGGGTACAGTGAGTGAAACAAAAATCGATAAAAGTTAAGTTTTAAATTACAGGCTCGGCAAGAGCGGAAGGGCGCCGAAAGTTGTATGAGGTTAGTCAACCTTTGACCACAGTAAGCGCGGAGCCTGAACGTGGTTCTTCTGGGCGCATAGGGTCGGTTTTCGTAACCTAATTGCGACCACTTCTGCTGTTGCTAACAGGCGCTGGCCCAGTAGCTTCGGGTAGCTTGAGGGGACCTTGTAAATCACACTAAATGCTTCAGTGGGGTCCACACGATGCCCCGAATCCACTGCCTGTGCAAGCATGACGCTGTCTATTCTCCTAGTTTCACCTTTTGCCAGCCATGCGGGAAAGTGCCCTCGTATTCCTTTGGAAAGGCGCCGACTCGTACGACGAATATAACCTGCTCCACAGGAGCAATTAAATGAGTAGATGCACATTGAGGCGGTCTGAGGTGGCAGCCTATCCTTGCCTTCTCCGCGTAAAATAGGGTTAGTAGAGAATAATATGAGAACCCTCGCTGCTGGGAAGGTTCCCGAGACATCTTGGTCAAGGTGTATTCTCAGGAGTTCACTTGCAGCGTCTCCTTGGAAGGGACTTTGAGTAACAACGTTTTCTTTTCGGCGGTTAGTGTGGTGGGTTTTGCGGGTCGTTCGGCAAGTTCTTTGCAATGAACCTGTCAGGGTACCCATTTTTGCGAAGTAAGTCTTGGATTTTTCTAAGTTCCTCCTCGATACTATCTGTTGAACACATTTTTCTAGCCCTTTGGGCCAAACACCTGACTAGATTCCGATTTTGTTGGAGGGGTACGAAACTAGCGAAGTTCGTGTATTGTCTAGACCAGATTTTCTTCCGATAGACGCTCCTTCCGATGCTATCGTCAGATCTGCTTAGAGGGATATCTAAGAAACGAAGCGAACCGGCCGATTCCATCTCCAACGTGAATTTGATCGACTGACTTGCTCGGTTTACAACATTTAGGAGGGCAGCAACGTCGGTTTCTGTGATTGCAATCACAACCGTAATGTTTAAGCTTTTTGATCTGATCGCTTAGTTGAAATTTATCCGGCTTGCCCATAAAGGCGTCGGCTAAGAGAGGCCCAAAAGGCGAGCCTATAGGGACGTCGTCTACTTGTCTATAGAGTTGGTTGTCAAAAAGGAACTGCACATTTACTGTGCACCTTAGTAATAGTTCCTTGAGTGTGTTCGTCGGTATTACTATTTCTTGATGACTGGCAGATAGAAAATCACAGATGTAATCCGTGAACCTGCCGGGTTTGTGCCCAATTCTGCGGTCGCAAACTTGCCACCCGTCAAGTACCTGTGACCATCCCGTCCTGAGAATGGCTCAGGTTGTGTGATGTCAGCCGGTTGTCGAGGCCCTTGCACGCATATCATGCTTCTTTCTTCTGTAGGTGGTTCGTCTTACGTGCCGGAGGAGTCCATCTGCGGAGACCAGGCGTCGGCCTCCGGCGACGACGTCCCCGAGCGTCAGTTTGGCGCATTGTCGTTGACGAGTGGGACTAATGCCGGTGGCGATCTCTCACTTATGCTCCGCGATGAGGCCAACTGGTCTCTGGCTCTTGCCTGCGAGGATCTCTCTGTGGCCTCCGGTTGCTGGCGTGGCCTGGATCCCCGGTTGGGGGAGACAGAGGTGGCCCTGATCCAGCCGGGTCGATCGGGTCTGCCGGTAGAGTATCGAACTGCTGAAAAATGAGACCGCTGGCTCCTTCGAGAGACATTTGTATCTCTGTAAAGCACACCCATTTCCCCCCCGCGTTTTCACTTCGCTATCTGTAATTTAACATTGCTTCCTCTGGGCTCTTCTCTCTACGCCCCAGTTGTGGCTCATAAGAGAAGTAATTTACGTTGGCCACTCGCATTTAGGCCATGCCTAGTGGAGCTGCGAGATTTGCTCCCCTTAGGATGACCAGGTTATGGCTCCGGCTCACAGAGACCCTGTCACCCGTGGGTCGGATCTCATTTCGTAGACAAGCCCCAGTCTGGCCCCTATCCTCTAATCCCAATTCCTAACCCTTAACAGGTGTAGTACTGTGGCCACTCGAAGGTAGGTTCTTGTCGTCTTCTCCTTCTAGACGACAATCTGTAGAGGCTTCCTTGGTGTTCTTATCCGATCGAGAGTCTGCTCGATGAGAACCCTGAAAATCAGCGCACATCGAGTTCATCATCTGTAAGAGCAAGCGAGCACAAATAGAATAGGTTGACGGTGAGAAAAGTTTATTGGAAGGTTTATATCAGCTGAGATGATTAGTCCCGCTCCGTTCTCTCGTCGTCTTCTTCCTTACGGGCGGTCCCTCGACTGGCCCCCTCGCTCTCTTCCACGGCAGTCACTAAAAAAAGGCACGTTCAGAACACCAATCAATCAAAACGGTCGGGAAAAACCCCAGGCAGGACACATTAAAACAACAAGGTCAGTACGTCCTTCTACACGCCCCCCCCCCTCTCAAGAGGCGGCTCTGCCCTCAGAGGCGCTGCCTGGGAGGGACTGCTGGTGATTTCCACCTCATCGGAGGGTTGAGGGACTAGGTGAGGGGGAAGGATGGGTAGGGAATCGGCGGTCGCATTGGGTAGCCGGCTTGAGTATGTCATAGTGTACAGTAAGGACAGGGCCCCCGGCCGACTGCGCGTCACGACGGGGGATTTGCTCCCGTTAGGATGACCACGGAGAGCCTGTCACCTGAACTGCCAGTGGACATGCGCTTAAGCGTCCGTGGCTCAGATCTCATCCCGTAGCGTTACTCGCAGTAGACAAGCCCCAGCCTGACCCCTAACAGGTACGCCTACGAAATAAGGTCTTGTGGACGTATGTGATGTGATTTCCTATTGCACTATTATATAAATACCAGGGGCCTTTGCAAGGACGTACAAAATACCCTTAAATTGCCCTAGAGAGAAAAATACGTGCTATGCGGTCTTGGAACCTTATGAACCGGTAAAGCCTAGTTTCTGTTAAAGTATAGAATGGTATCAGTAATTTTTCGTAAAATCGAACTACCATCAAGTAGAAGATTTAAAGCAGTCTTCTACCAACTTTTTTTTATTAGGATTACTTCTTTGTCCTACCTACCAATAAATGATGATTGAATCTACAGTAGATGTGCTAACTCTTGAAATGTAAACCAAAATTTCGAAATACGTCCTCGTTTCTAAAAGATAAATTAAGAAGTGTTGTGAAACTAATCATGATGCAGCGTAAATCTATAATGATCCAGTTACCTCAGGGCGTCGGCTTTCGAAAGAACTTATTTTCGGCTGCATGCAAGATCTATACTCTGCAAAAAATGATTACTTAAGTAGCATGCAATTTTCTCATTGATTTTAGATGCCCATGAAAATTCAATTATATTTCATGGAAAACATGCATGAAAATATTCATTCTTTACTTATTCGGTAGAAAATCACGTCTGCTTCCAATTTCATACTCAAAAGAAGAGTATAATTCGGTTTTAAAAAAACGCTTCTAATTTCCGAATAATTTTGAACCCGACCTGCTGCTTCACTTGCATTCAGGGTTTCGAAACTACAAGCTATATAATTTCCGTGTACGGAAAACCATGCATTTCTCAACGGTGTTAAGAGGAGACCATATGAGGTTCATAAAATTAAGCAGTGGATTTGAGCAATATTGTTAACTTTACAAGCCACATTCGTAAATGCAAATACATGACGTTTCATGAACGGCCATTTAACGGTATTAAAAAATCTCACAATTGGAAACTTTTTTAAAACCGAATTATACTCTTCTTTTGAGTATGAAATTGGAAGAAGACGTGATTTTCTACCGAGTAAGTAGAAGAATGAATATTTTTATGCATTTTTTCCATGTAAAATAATTTAATTTTCAAGGGCGTCGAAAATCAATGAGAAAATTGCATGTTACTTAAGTAGCCATTTTTTTGCAGAGTATTGATCTTGCATGACACTGACGACTGTTTTGATGGCGTGTGAGTCGGATCTCATTTCGTGGCCGTACCATCCGGACCGCCATCCTCCAATCCCAATTCCTAACCCCCAACCTTAACTCCTAACCCTTAACAGGTACGGCTAGGAAATGAGATCTTGCCCCTCCGTGATTGGCTGCCCGTCTCGTTATAGTGAACGTGAGTAGGGTGACACTAGTGGGTGTTTTTCGATTCCAGCCATAGAACCGGGCTTTAAGCCGTTTCATTATTTCAAAGCATCTAAGTGCGTCGATGAAGTGCGGGATGAAAGTCGAGCAATTGTGGACGTTCACGGGACGTGCTCGTCCCGTCGTGCTTTGGGGCTCGATGTAGAGCCACGGAGACAGTTGCACAGCAACGGGATCAGGTGTTGACATTCTAAGAACATTTCAACGCCATCTTCCCGGACATTCAATTTACGATGGAGGAGGAAGAGAACAACCAACTGGCCTTCCTGGATGTCCTCGTATGCCGCAAACTTTGTGGTGGACTAAAGACCAAAGTGTTCATGAAAGCGACAAATACGATGCAAGTACTGAACTTCAACAGCAACCACCCAATCAGTCACAAACGCAGTTGTGTAAGGACGCTCTATCGGCGTGTCGAAACGCACTACAGTGAACCGGAAGACAAAATTGCTGAACTACAATACCTCCGACGGGTCTTCAAAGCCAATGGCTACCCGCGCAACTTCGTCGACCGGTGCATACGCAAAAGGGACGAAGGGCCTAACCGCACGGACACCAAGTCTTGGCGGGCACTTCCGTATGTCAAGAACGTTTCGGAAGCTGTCGGCCGCCTTCTCGCACCACTTGGGGTTGGAGTGGCACGCAGACCGGAGGCAACCATCAGGCGTCTGATCATGAAACCGAAAGACCCACTGCCACGGCTAGAAACGGCTGGAGTCGTTTATTGGATCTGGTGCAGTTGCGGACAAAGCAACTACGTCGGAGAAACCGGAAGACAGCTCCGAACATGCTGCAGCAGTGCGGAGAAATGACGCCAGCTCTCAAGTTGCGGCTCATTCGACGGGTTCCGGCCACACATTTAAATTCGATGAGGCCGAAATTCTCGCAAGAGGTGACAACCGAGTGAGCCGAGAGCTACTGGAATCATGGTTCACTGGCCCCCAGTCTATTAACAAGTGCAATGATCTTCCCATTCAATACAGCGTGCTGAGACTTCGTCTAGGCTGAGAAATTGGCCACGCGGGGAGCGCCCTGATGAACACTCTTCCCAACACCCGGGTCAGCGCGTCAGATGGTCGAGCAATCATCACACCAACATCCAACGCACGTGATGAAATTGCAGCAATTAACGACGCGAATATCGGCCATCACGCCACGGGCAACGAACCCTGATGAAGGGGATGGAGCCGTGAATATTCATAGATATGCGGTAGCAAGGCTACTGCTTCCTATAAATACTGCAGCCGCATGTGCATAAACCACCCTTATCTGCTTATGTCTCTGATTATGGATTCGAGCAGGAATGCGAAACGTCAGGCTAATAAAGCTCTTGTCCCGGCGATCGTGTCTTCTTCTTCAAGACTAGTGGGTGTCTTTCGATTCCAGCCATAGAACCGGGCTGTAAGCCGTTTCTGAGTGCGTTACACAGCAACTGGTATTGTGTGTAGAATGAGAACTGACCAAGACAAGGGAGACTGGAATGGCCATTTGTAGCCAGTCATACCAAACCCCCGGTTCCTGACCTCTCAGGCTCGAACGCACGTTCTGTTGGTTGGCGGTTCAACGCCATAACCACTGAGCTACGGGTTCGTCCTGTCGCTTACGATCGGGAGTATTAACAATGGGCGAGGGCCGCGCACGGATCGTGTTAGGGGACTCACTGGTACCTTTGTGCTTTGGGGCTGTCTCCAGAGTCCCTCCAGCAAACGCACAGCCGTTAAGGGGAGGGCCGAGTTACCCCGTCAGTCGGCAACCTTCCAGGCTACGGCTTTTAGCGCACCGTGATAGCCTCTAACGTGCCTCCGCAGCAAAAAATACCACAAGCACACCTACTGAACAAACATTAGTACGTAAGGTAGCCGTGACGTAAGTCCTGTGGCCGCGTGTTTGGCATCCGTCTAGGAATATGTGCTGAGACCGTCGACCTCATTCTTCCCTCGCCCAGACACTGGTCTAGTGTCCGAGCTGGCCAGTCAAACGATGCGACGATGGGGCGCGCAGTGACTGACAACTGTTCAAGCCTCACGCACGACGTAGCCCCTCACGCGACATACGCGGGGTGGGCGGCTCGGATATCGCATCCGTGAGTACCGCAGAGGCCACATTAGAGAGGTGGCCATTACAGTATGTCTCTCAGTCCACCAGTCGGTGACACCATGCAAACGCAAACTCGCCAGACTCAGTTGAGCCGTCATTTGGCCACTAGCGCTTTCCGTAATCCGATCAGTGAGTGCCCGTCCATCATTATACATATATAATGATAGGCTCGTGGCCCAGTGGTTAGAGGCGTGGACTTCCAACTAACAGGTCGCGAGTTCGGGCTTCGGGTGTTCCACACGGGTTGGACATGAATGGCTGACGACGGCTAATAAGCCAGAAATGGCCATCCCGGTTTCCCTTGTCTTTGTCGATTATAACATGTCTGCCTATATCATGCGCCGCTGTGCGGCTGCCGGTTGGGCTCGAGAGAGAGCCCGTAAGGCACAACGCCTTGAGCGTCGGCTGTAGTTTCTGTTCGGCGCCTCTCTTATAGGTGCTGAGCATGCCGGCGTGTTGTCTTTCCAACT